GGCACAGGAAAAGATAGTAGATGGGTGCCCCAAACCAAAAGTAGATCCTGCCTTTGTATCATTGAAAATAGAATGATGGATGAGGGAACTTATACCAATAGTTTTCGTAGCCTATATACAAAAGTATAGAGAGGCTCGATCCCTAGTGACCTCACTCAGATTGGTAAAGGGGAGCAGCTTGGCAGAAATGAAGTAATGCCAAGCCTTAGAAGCTGCATTTAGCTTGGAAGAAGGAAAATGGATTTTATTTTCATTTCTAAGCTTCCACTTCCTCTCACCATTTATTTGAAACATGATAATTTCATCAAAGTCAAAGTTTATAGGATTGAAGCTCAAATAAGAACTCTCATGGACATCTCTCAATGAATATAACACATTAATAAAAGGAGAAAAGTCTACTATCTTCTCTCTGATAAAGACTAACCTATCTGAAGCCTCAGGAAAATTAAAATAAAACTCCTTAACAACTGAAATCACCGCTACACCATTATTGTAATAGAAATTCTCCCAATGCTGGCTCACTATCATGCTTTCAATTTGAGTGATCGAAGCCGAATGACTGATGGTCAAATGACCAAATGAGAATGCCAAAGGATGAACAAGCAGTTAAGCATTCGTGGCCATATGTTAGGATATGGTTTCTTGACCCGAGCAAGGCTCAACTCCTCTTAAGATCCCATGTCATGATAGCAAAGCTGAAAAGGAAATAAGGGACTCACAACTCAGGGTTTTTGGGCAAGATAGGCCCAAATATGACTTTAACGAAGGCCCAACCATTATAAATAGATGAATTAAGTAAAATAGAGACTCTTCTGTTTTTTGGGACTCTTTTGATCCTTTTTCCTATAAGGAAGAATCCTCAATACATGGCATTTTGCGTTATCTCTTTCTCACTTGGCTCCCCCCAATTGATCTCTAGAATTATTTTATTTCTCTTTGTTTATGTTGTATTTCTCTGGTGTGATTCAATATTACATATGGGTTGAACAATTATAATTTTTTTTCTAATTATTCATAAATTACATTATAAACCAAATTTTGAACATATATAATTATTGAACCAATTTATTTTTATTTTGGCTATGAAAGTTTTGTTTTTATTTTGGTGCAATAAGAACGATGA